GGTAAAAAAAAACTTCAGTGGTGTGGAAACATTATGGGTTCGCGGAGTCAGACGTGGATCAAGTAGACACAGTGTGTAAACTTTGCTACGGTGTTGTAGCTGCACCACAGAGCAACACTGCAAAGTTCACTAAACATAGATGTTTGCATTTTTCATTTATTTTTTATATAGCAAACATTTGCACTGTTATCAGTATTTGCACACTATTTTATATTATTTTTTGACAATCTTTAAAGTCATTATTCAATACATTGTTATTGTTAAATAAATATCGTCAAATAATCGAGATCTCAATTTCAGTGAAAATAATCGTGATTATCATTTTTGCCATAATCGAGCAGCCCTATGGAAAAGTTCTCAGAGCATGTGCTGACGAACTGACCGGAGTCTTCACTAAAATCTTCAACCTTTCCTTGTCATCAAACACCGTCCCGCCCTGCCTCAAAACCTCCACCATCATCCCCATCGCCAAGAAGACAGCTGTGGCCAGCCCAAATGACTACAGGCCTGTTGCACTTACGCCTGTAGTGATGAAGTGCTTTGAGAGACTGGTCTGTCAGCACATCAGGGCCGGTCTGCCTCCCACTCTGGACCCCCACCAATTTGCCTACAGGACAAATCGTTCCACCGAGGACGCTATCACCATAGCGCTCCACACTGCGCTGAGTCACCTGGAGCACTGAGGAAGCTATGTGAGAATGCTCTTTCTGGACTTCAGCTCAGCATTCAATCATATCATCCCGGAGATCCTGGTCCAGAAACTGTCTCACCTGGGACTCTCCACCCCCATCTGCCTCTGGATCAAGGACTTCCTGACAAATAGACCACAGTCTGTCAGACTCGGCCCCCACCGGTCCAGCACCATCACACTCAGCACCGGGTCTCCACAAGGATGTGTTTTGAGTCCCCTCCTCTTTACGCTCTACACATCCGACTGCTCCCCTACCCATCTCTCAAGCACCATCATAAAGTTCGCGGATGACACCACAGTGGTTGGACTCATCTCAAGGGGGGATGAGTCGGGACTACAGAGATGAGGTCAACAGACTGACTGAGTGGTGTTCAGTTAACAACCTCCAACTGAACACCACGAAAACTAAAGAACTTATCTTGGACTTCAGGAAGGGCAGAGCAGACCCGGCCCCACTTTACATTCACGGGAACTGTGTGGAGAGGGTACGCTCCATGAGGTTTCTGGGCGTGCAGATCTCTGATGACCTCTCCTGGACTGCAAATACTACAGCGGTGGTTAAAAAGGCCCAACAGCGTCTCCACTTTCTGAGAGTGCTCAGGAGGAACAACCTGGAGGAGAGGCTGCTGGTGACATTTTACAGAGCCACCATTGAGAGCATCCTAACGTACGGCATAACAACATGGTATGCAGGGTGCTCAGCTGCGGACAGGAAAGTACTGCAGAGGGTCATCAACACAGCCCAGAAGATCACTGGCTGCTCTCTGCCCAGCCTGGAGACCACTGCAAACTCTCGGTACCTCAGCAGAGCTGGCAATATCATCAAGGACCACTCTCACCCCAGCAACCAACTGTTTGAACTATTACCGTCAGGCCGACGGTACAGGTCACATAAAACCAGGACAAACAGATTCAGGGATAGCTTCTTTCCCAGAGCTATCACCGTAGTAAATAAGCACAAAAACAATTGAACCTATTCCATACCTTCACTGTCATTATATTATGCTGCTATTCATACTGTCATTATATTAATGCTGATATCCTGTATATATTGTACATACTATTGTTTGAGTACTTACGATTGTTTTTTTTTTGTACTTTTTATATTTTACATTTATATTTATTATTGAAACTTGCACCAAGGGAGTGGCACTCCAATTTCGTTGTACTCTGTACAATGACAATAAAGGCTATTCTATTCTATTCTATTCTACAGCGGCCTGGTTAGCTACTAGTGATGTTCGATTCGTGAACGAATCGTTCAATACTCGAGAATCACTTTACTGACTCGTGAATCATGATTCACAAGCCCAACTGACTCACTGACTCATCCCTGTTGCTGTTAGCAAACTAATTCCATTAGTAGAAATATATCTAGCTTATAATTAAAATTGTGGGGGGAAAAACAATAGCCAGTTTCGTAACAAAAGCATTTCTGCTCTGAACTGGAAGAAAAACCCCTGAGTAGAAGCTCACATCAAGAAAATAGCTCCTCGGTTCACAGTAGCATCGCGCTGCTAACATGCTAACAGCACATTTGAGCTACTCACCCCCTCCCTTCCTGTGCTGAATCAAAGAGCGAGTGAATCACTCAGGACTCACTAACCCCCTCCCTCCTGTGCTGAATCAAAGAGCAAGCGAACGAATCACTCAGGACTCACTCACCCCCTCCCTCCTGTGCTGAATCAAAGAGCGAACGAATCACTCAGGACTCACTAACCCCCTCCTGTGCTGAATCAAAGAGCGAGCGAACGAATCACTCAGGACTCACTCACCCCCTCCCTCCTGTGCTGAATCAAAGAGCGAGCGAACGAATCACTCAGGACTCACTAACCCCCTCCCTCCTGTGCTGAATCATAGAGCGAGCGAACGAATCACTCACTCACCCCCTCCCTCCTGGCTCACAGCTTCTTCTTCTTCTTGGTTGGTGTCAGAGATTTACAGTTAACAAACAGTCAGGTGAATAAACAACAATGAGACACTTGTGTAGGTTAACGTGCTGCACGGGTGAAAAGCTCAGAGCAAATCACACCGAACTGCAGTATTCGTTTATTTTTATAGGTTACATCGTCAATATGCAAATATAATCACATTTCCTGTTACGCAGGTCCTGATGCTGTCTGTGTGTGTGTGTGTGTGTGTGTGTGTGTGTGTGTGTGTGTGTGTGTGTGTGTGTGTGTGTGTGTGTGTGTGTGTGTGTGTCACAAAGTATGTGTGTTGCAAGTCAGTTTCTAAGAATAATATAATGCAATCCAACTTCTGCGGATATGTATTTCTGTACTGGTCTCTTGTCAGTGTCACAGGGTCAGCTTCCTGTTTCAACAGAAAACTGTGTCTGGTGAAATATGTGTAACATAACTTTTGAAGCATAAGCAAATAAAACAATAAAAACTCCCTAACATCCCTCCCTGTTGTTACCGTATTTCACCACTTCAATCATACTTTATTATCAGCTAACAATCACTTGCTTATAACATTTTCAATTGTAGCATCATTCAGTATGTGTGAATGTGTGTGTTCCTATACTAAATCTTCTTTGTCCGGTTCATCTTCTTGTGGCAGTCCAACATAGGTGATCACTGTGGCCTGTAACATTTTGCCAATCATTGATCTGATACAGGGTAGAATGCATGTAGAGAACATGCAAAGCAATAAAAGAAGAACTCCTATCAAGACAAGTCCTCTGTGTTCATGACATAGTCTTGTTGCTGTGCATTACTCAGTTGTCGTAACTTCTCCAGGGCGGTGGTCATGGTCAAGGAATGCACGTTATCTGGAATGTAGGTGCAGCAAGTGGTGTTGAATAAGACACAGAGGCCCCCTCTCTCAGCGAGAATCATGTCCAGGGCGACTCTGTGTTGCATGACCACTATTCTGATCGCGTCAATTTCCTCATTATGAGCCTTGTTTATCCATGTTGAGCTGTTCTGGAAAAGTCCAAATCGGTAGTCAAGAGTCTCGATCCTTAGCATGTTTTTTCCATTCCCGATCCATGGGAAAAGTGAGTGCAGGACTTTCTGTCCGGTGGTCCACAACTTGAACTCCGCTAGCACATCACTGCCCCAGATTGGATCATGAGGTTGCACGTCATCAGTGCTCCTCTTGCGTCTTGGTTGGTCCCTTTCTGTCCTGCGGCATCCGTAAAGTCTGGGAGCAGTTTTGGTTCATCCCCAGCTTTCTGTTACCGTATGCGAAGGTGAAACACATTGGATGTTGTATTCCTGGTTCCCTCCTGACGTTGAAAGATTTTCCCTTGTCATTGGTTGCATTCAGGTGTACCCAGTATCGGTCATCACAGCTGTAGTTCCAGTCTGAGACCTCTGGTGTACAAAACACTACCTCATTAGGTTTATAGTTGATCAGTGTTCCATTACACCGTCGCAGGTCGATTTTTGTGACTTGTCTTTTTAACCAATGTTAAGGTGCATTACCACCCCCTGGCTCACAGCGCAGTGGACATTTAGATGAGAAAATATATATTTGACACACTTAAGGAAAATACTAATAAAATACAAATAAACAAAATAAATGTTTATTAAGCAATTTTGATAAGAAATTGCTTAATTTTAGAAATGATTTTGCTCTTTGTTCTCTATAAAATAGTTGGGTTTTTGTTTTTGTTTTTTTTAATCATTCACCTTAGCAGTGGGATTTACATGAAAAGGGAAACAAATTAAGTTTGAGTGAAAATGTAAAATTGTTGCACTCTCTGGTCAACTGACTCAGTGAATCAAATGACTCAAAACACCCGATTCACTTTGGTGAGTGACTCATTAACACTCGATTCAGTAAAAAGAATCAAATTGTGAATGAAGGGTGCGAAGCAGAGTCTCCAATTCAGTAATCCTGGCCTCCAAATATGCTACATTTGTTAAAGGTATCATTACTGCTAAAGGAGGCCGAGGAGTAACTAAACATCTGACACAATGAGCAAGAAAGTGCAGGAGGGACAGGTGAAGTAGCCATGGTGCTAGTGAGTCGGCTACGAGCTAAGCTAAGCTAGCGAAACAGTACAGAGACAGTGAGTGAATACTTTGGCTATAAATTAGGTGGTGAGTACACAGAAAGTGTGTTTCGGATGAAGCACGTGAAGATTATACTCTGAAAAAAGAATGTATTTAAAAGTTGTTAATTAAATTGCTAAGCAAATAAGCTACTCAGAAACACCACTGTGTTTGAGCAGGAAAAGGATGTGATACTCTCCCGCAGAGCGAGCGAACATCAAGTGACAGCGCCACTGGAGGGAGTGTCAGTTTGTTCCACGACTGCATTTCACTCAATGCCTCTGTTTGTATGTCTTTCACTGCAGGACCAACATGGAGCAAGAAGTCAGCGCTCTCAGGAGGCCGACAAACCTCACAGAAGAAAGGGAGAGAAAAACTACAGCTGTGATGAGTGTGGGAAGGATTTTACCCGGGCTGGAGACTTAAAAACTCACCAACTCATCCACAGTGGAGTTAAACCTTACAACTGTGACTTGTGTGGAAAGTCTTTTACCCAGGCTGGAAACTTAAAAAAACACCAACTCATCCACAGTGGAGTTAAAGCGTATAGCTGTGACTTGTGTGGAAAGTCTTTTACCCTGGCTCAAAGCCTAAAAACACACAAAGTCATCCACAGTGGAGTTAAAGCGTACAGCTGTGACTTGTGTGGAAAGGCTTTTAACTGGGCTGAAAACTTAAAAACACACCAACTCATCCACAGTGGAGTTAAACCTTACAGCTGTGAGTTGTGTGGAAAGTCTTTTACCCGGGCTGGAGACTTAAAAACTCACCAACTCATCCACAGTGGATTTAAACCTTACAGCTGTGACTTGTGTGGAAAGTTTTTTACCCAGGCTGGAAGCTTAAAAACACACCAAATCATCCACAGTGGAGTTAAAGCTTACACATGTGAGTTGTGTGGAAAGTCTTTTACCCTGCCTCAAAGCCTAAAAACACACCAAGTCATCCACAGTGGAGTTAAAGCCTACAACTGTGACTTGTGTGGAAAGTCTTTTACCCTGGCTCAAAGCCTAAAAACTCACCAACTCATCCACAGTGGAGTTAAACCTTACAGCTGTGAGTTGTGTGGAAAGTCTTTTACCCAGGCTGGGGGCTTAAAAACACACAAACTCATCCACAGTGGAGTTAAAGCCTACAACTGTGACTTGTGTGGAAAGTCTTTTACCCAGGCTCAAAGTCTAAAAACACACCAACTCATCCACAGTGGAGTTAAACCTTACAGCTGTGAGTTGTGTGGAAAGTCTTTTACCCAGGCTGGGGGCTTAAAAACACACCAAGTCATCCATGGTGGAGTTAAAGCTTACAACTGTGACTTGTGTGGAAAGTCTTTTATATATCCACATCAGCTTAAAAAACACCAACAGATCCACACCAGAAAGTAACTCTACAAGTGCAGTTACTGTGAGGATGTATTTAGTTTATCTTGTAATTGTAACCTGATTGTTTGGAACAAGTCTGATCAGTAAACTTATGGAGTTATACTGAATGAACTGTTTGGAAAAATGAAGACTCATTTTCAGTCAGTAAGCTGAGTGTTGTAATATAAACAGTAAAATGTAATTGGACGTTGGCAGAGATGCTTTTTATTTCAGGCGACGTTCAGGATAAAAACATTGAAGGAATTCCCTGACTTACAATGTCTTTGTTTAGAAGCGGAGCGAAGCACACTGATCCATTTCTCAACCCTGTCGTCACTGTGGTGGTGGGAAAGAGTTTCTCTGTGATCTTTGTGGAAAAACTTCCAATCATCAACGGGACCTAAAACCACATCAACGTAGTCACACTGGAGACAAAATGAACTACTGCAAAGAATGTGGGAGAGGCTTCCACACACCAAGTACATTAAAAATACATGAACTCTTCCACAGTGGGGTCAAAAAGCACATCTGTGACCAGTGTGGGTCATCCTTCACCACTGAACATGAGCTCAATGAAAAAGCATAAGGGAATCCACACAGGAGAGACACGATACAATTGCAGACACTGTGACAAAAGCTTCTCACAATCAGGTCATCGTAACAAACATGAACGTACACACATGGAAGTGAACTTCAGCTGTGACCAGTGTGACAAGAGCTTCAGGAATCTCAGTTCATACTCCGAACACAAACGATCTCACACTGTAAATAAACTGTTTCCCTGTTACCAATGTGCAAAAACATTCACTTCATTATCTGCTCTGTGCAAACATCAGCCTGATCATGCAGGACTGAAATCACTGGATCACAATGAATCTGAAGAGAGAGAAAGATCCTCTTCTGGTTTCAGGGTCAGACTTAAAAACCTTGATATCAGGCTCCACAGAGTTCAGGTGGAATCTCCTGTAAAGAGTGTCAGCTGATGCCACACTTGGATCTGATGAGGTAGCTCTGATTTCTGGACCTGCAGTGAATAATCCTGAATGTTACATTTAGGAAGCTGCATGTATAGATATGCATATCAAGTTTATTATTTTTCCTTTTAGGGATTTTAATTCTCTAAAATGTTATCCCTGTTACATTTTAGTCTTTGTTTCCTTAGGATACAGTAGTGTTTAGTAGTTGTATTCATTTTATGTGTTACCTAAGTTAAATTTCAATCCTTCATTCATATTTAATCTTTTGCTGTTGTAAAATCTTCTCTTAAATCATTTTCTCCCAAAACTACAAATGTTTTCACAGCAGTTGCTCTTAAAACTTCCAAAATGAACTAAATCTGTCCACCAGCTTTGAAACGACACCTGCTGTGACTTTATGTCCAGAAAAAAGAAACTCAAGCTAAACTGGTTTTGGGCTGTACTTTCATATAATACCAGTTTGTACCTGAAGATGATGCAGTGAGTCAGTGTAACCTTTATTTAATTAGGCAAAGACCACATTCGTATTCACAGTGGCAGCAAAGAAATGTTGAAAGTTAAAAACAGCAGCACACATCAGGGCCAATTTAAAGATCATAAGGTGACTACTTTTACTTAATTCAAATTCCTTCAAATTTTGGCTCCTCCTTTCACTTTAGTGTATTTACTGTATCCTTGAAGTCCACATGTTGTTTTTTAATGAATTAATTTTGATCCACATGTTCTGCAGCTGTTTTCCTGTTGATTTGAAGTTTGTATTATGAAATCCTGACAATATTAGAGTGTTAGTTATATTTGATGTACTCTGTGTAAAGTTTGTCTTATTAAACAGTTTGGTGTGAAAATGAAGAAATGGTCTCAGAACAAGTAGTTTGAGCTCTGGTTTCCCATTCAAACTAATTTAACTGTTTTCAGTGGTACATGTGGAGGTTTATCAGAGGAGGCGACTTGGCTGTTCTCCACTCACACAGAACAGGGTTCCTGCAGCTCATTAAAAACTCTGAAATGATCTTCAAGGACCAAAATATTTGAATTTTCTCAAAAACGTGCTGTGGGCATGACGTTTTTAGAGAGTGTGTTTAAAACAATTAATAGCTTGAATTTTAATTTTATTTGGAGGAATAAGTGCCATTATATATCTAAAGATGATTTGGTTAAACCATACATTGAAGGCGGTGGAAACGCAATTGATTTTGATATAATGAATGGTGTTTTGAAACTTAAATGGTTAAAATCCTTCCTAAATAATCCACACTCCATTTGGTTTTTTATACCAAGTAAGGTCTTTAACACACTGGGGGGTATCGACTTTCTCCTAAAGTGTGACTTTGAAATTACTAAGCTACCTGCTAAACTCTGAATTCCATAAACAGGTCCTTCTTTATTGGAAAATGTTATTTAAACATAATTTCACTCCACATAATTGCCCAATTTGGAACAATAGATATATACTGATGAACAGAAAATCTATTTTTATTCAAGATTGGTTATCAAAAGGTGTTTGGGCAATTGCCCATTTTGTAGATGAGGAAGGACATGTTCTAGGACATCAAGATTTTTGCCAAAAGTTTAATATCCAATGTTCTAAAAGTAAATTTAATCGGGTTATAAAATCCATTCCATTGTCACTTAAAAACATATTGTAAATGATATAATATATTCTGACATCTCCCCCAAGTTAAGGCAATTATATATAGATGGTATTCGATTTTGTGATGTTAAATGCAACAATAAGTTTCTTAGATCTTCATTAAGGAGTCTTTATTCTCCAAATTTACTTAGACGTAATTACATATTAAAAGATTTCCAAAGGGAAGAAATTGAAAAAATAAGAACTGATTATATCACCTTCCCTATCCCTCCTAAAGGGAAAGAAGTCCAATTTAAAATCTTGAATAAAATTTACCCGGCAAATAGACTCCTTAGTGATAGATTCAAAATAGAAATGGGTAATTGTGTATTTTGTGAAACAGAAGAGGAGGATTTGGACCATCTATTCTTTTTGTGCAATTTTATACAAATATTTTGGTTGGATTTTCATACCTGGCTTTATTCCAGTGGGATTCAAATTACCCCATTTACCTTAAATATGATAATGTTTGGAGTGTTTTTGAAAGAAAAGAAAGCTAATTATGGTGTTAATGTGTTATTAATCTTGTGCAAGCATTTTATACATAAATGTCTCTTTTTTAAGACTAAACCAACACTGGCTCACTGGAAAAACGACTTAAACCTGTTGGTTAAATCTTTGACTTTAGTTAAAAAGAAAAAGGCTGCTTTTTTGTTTCCTTTATGGAAGATTTTGATTTAGTGAGTTAATAATTTGTTAAATTATGTGACCCCATCTTTATATTTTATTTTCACTATATATGAAAGTTGCTAATATGTAAGAAATGTCTATTCTCTGAATCTGTAATATATGGTGCATTTTGTTTGTATGTTTATATTACTAATAAAAAAAAAACCTTGTGAAGCTCGGTCACGTGACCGCGCAGAAACAAATCACAGCAGAGCCGGAAAAGGAGGCGGCGCAAAGTGTCTGTGCAGGAGAGGAGTCGAGCAGAGAGAGCTGCTTTTTCATGAAACGGGAGTAAAGTAGTGAACTTACAGGAACATATACCACTACCAACGTTTGGATCGATGTCTGCATCGATCTGCACACCCTTGTCTCCTGGATCGTAGCTGAGATCAGCGTGAACCACGTGGGTCTCTTCTCCGTCTCTGTGTTTCTTAAGACTTCCAGCTTCATCACGGAGTTTCTCTCGGTTTGTGGGCTCATCTAAAGGTAAGCACCGAGCTAACTTTAATGTGGGTTCCGTTTATGTTGAGTTTAGCTCTGTTGAGAATAATAGATTGCTTGGGATACACTGGAGTTAGACAGACTGTAGAGTTTGTGATTGCTTGCAACAATATGAAATGGCGGTTGCTAGGGGGTAAGAATACATATAGAAAAATAGTCTTGGAGTATGAACAAAAGGATGGGCTGCAGGCAGGGCTCTAGAGTGAGACCAAATTGGTCGCTAATGCGACCAAATTTTTCAATGGTGCGACTAAAAAAAATCTTTGGGCGCACCACAACAACAAAAAAAATCTCTGCAACTCTCCGTGTGGTCAACAACAGACACACGTTATGCCCCTATCGTGGACTAAACCAATCAGAGATAGTCAGGGG